CTAAATCAAATTTTCCTGCCCCTAGTGTAATCTTAATGGGTAGAAGGCTTAGAACGTACTCCGATTTATTTACGATGGGCGGCAAGAAACATTCCTCAGCTAGTAGAAAGGTGAAAAGCTTGGTAAAAAAAGTCCAAAGCACCCCATTCTTTACAAGAATGTGTTGATATGAATATAAGCGTACCGTAGGATGGTGTGACATTGCAACTTGCGGAGAACTTTACACAGACATGTATATTTTTTTCTTAAAATTAATATTTTTGAAATATGACAATGTAGCAAATTTTTTGCAACACAAAACAGTCAAATACTTGCTGAAACATGTCAGCCTCAGCAATTGGTGGTTTAGTGGTTTTCGTTACTTTGTAATGTAAACATATATAAATTGTGCATTTTGACGTTCTCGAACGAAGGACAAAAGCTAAGGGATCCACAGCTTCCTTATCAAGGTATGTATTTTATTATTGGTATGTAGTACTAAAGTATTACCCTTTGTGAACACATTTCAAGGTATTTCAGAAACTCAATTATAAACATGGTAAAAATATTTTAAATTTCCGAAGGTAGTGAGACTTTACACGTTTATTTTTTTTCAGGAAAATTTGAAAATGGCCGTATTTTTAGGAAAAGGGTTGGTAGCCACCCTTACAAAAATTATAGCGTTGAATTCCTTGAACGCGCTATGCAATTAGTAAGAAACGGATCTTCCTATAGAGAAGCTGCTACCAAGTTTGGAATACCATGGAAAACCCTATGGAATAAGATAAAGGTCAAGCACACCAATAGTGTTGGCGGTCCCACACTTCTTACAGAGTTGGAAGACATTTTGGTGATGTTCTCTTAGCGGCTTCGGTAGTCCGTTAACGGCGTTTGATTTACTTTAAAGTTCCTGAAAAACTTTTTTGTTCTTTTAATATTTAAGTTGAAGTGTACCTGTTTTCCAAAGAATATTCTAGTTTCTTTAATTTCTATTATTTGGTGTTTATTTAGAGAGAATCTTGTTTATTTTTTGACCAAAATATATTATTTTTGTGCCTTGAAGGGTATTTTGTTTTATTTTCTACGTTTATGATGTTTCTCATTCATAAAAAAATCACAGGGTAGGTAGGTTACCTTTAAAACTTTTTTAAAACATAAATATAAGAACCCGAATACATTGAAAAACCCAACACATTAAACCAGTGTGTAATTTCACACCATTGGAGGGAAACTTTACACACATTTTGAATTTTTAAAAAATATATCTGTCTGTACTTTTTTCAAAAATATTATAACCTGATTCGTTAGGTAACATCCAAATGTAGTACATATATCAGCCACTTGAATATGGCATCATAATTTAGGTGATTTTCTTTGTCAAATATCAAAAACTTGTTGCAAAGTAACACCATCCTACGGTAGGTGAAAATAAGTTTAAAAAAATGATCTCCATTTTACGTATGATATTATATTAGGTATATATTTTTATCTGTCTCCAACTGTTTTTGTAAATAAATAAATGAATTACTAAATCACAACGTTATATGTTTCTTCAGCATAAATACATTGAAATACAGTTTTTAACCGCAGTGGTTTGGAATAAGCTGAAGATAAGAAACAGCAGACATTCTAAACCTAGACCGTCTGCTATTACTGTCGTCGCCGAAAGCAATTCGGAAATTTAGCGCGTCTGCTGTTACTGAAAATGCCTCCCGGTGCCTAAGTCAGTATTAGAACCAACTTTTCCCGGTGTTAAAGAAACATATAAAAAACTTATAGAATGACAAGAAAAGCAAAAAAGTTATAACGACAGATCTGCTAAAAAGCTTCCTAATTTAATTCCTGGACAGCCAGTTTTGCTTCGACAAAAAATGCGCGAATGGAAACCTGGTGTTGTTGTAAAAAGTTCGCCTAATAATGATTACATTGTTCGAATAAATAATACTGATTATCGGCGAAATCGCCACAGTCTGAGAACTTGTGTAGTTGATCATAATACTAGACAAATAATCTCTCCTCCTAGACACATTCATTCTTCTTTTATGTCTCTATCAGAATCTCCTTAAAGGGAGGATGGAGAAAATGTCAGTCAACGTAATTAAGTTTATAATGAAACTACACTTGAAGATAGCGAAGGAACCATAAGGTCTGAAACGGTAACCCCGGATAATTCTTTATTTGTTACAACCAAAAGTGGTCGTTTGATTGAACCTCCACATAGGCTAGATATATAGAGATGCTATTTTTAATGGTAGTTCTGTTTATTTATTTGTATGTAGATTTTGTTAAGTTAGACTTAATTTAATTTTTTATTTTTCATTTATTTATATCATTTTTCCTATACGACCACATACGAAAATGACAAAATCCGCACTAGCTGGTTCTTTGGAAAGCGCGAAATATCACACACGTGCTGAAAGTACTTTCAATACGCTTGCTAAAAGTACTTTCAGCACACGTGTGGAAAATACTGTTGACATTATTTGTGATTGACATCACAATTTACTTTCAATAGTGTGTGTTTTGTAATTATTGTAGGTGGCAACCAACCTTTATACACAGCTTTGTCAACTGACAAGTAGTACCTGTGGTGTCAGTTGGGTCGTCATAAAATTGTAAGTTCATAGCCCCTTGTGTTAACTGTTAAGATGTATTTTCTAATCTGTTATTAAAGTTATGAACCTTCTATGTTTGTTTGATGCCTCATACTTCCTAAACAACATACATAACAATTTTGAAATAATGTTAGATTTTTTTTCGATTAATTTAGACCCGCTCTATCAATTGGAAAAGTTAAAATTACGAAAGTCTGAAAAATGAAAAAGAGTTTTTGAATTTTTTTCAAAGGGATTTGGAATTTTTTGAAGCCATTTACGGTTTTTGAGAAAATCGAGTTTCAAATTTTTGACTAAATTTCAACTAAAATCCAACTTTGAGGCTCAATTGCTCTAAAAGTATTTGCGTTATCAAACTCAATCTAGTACTGATTTATAGAGAATTTAATGCTCTTTTCAACCATATATAATTTATTTTGATTTGCTCAAAATTTAATGGAAGTATTGGCAATTGCTCCTAACCTTGTCAGGATTTAAAAAAAATTTAGATCTGAAAATTGAGATTTTCTTTTTGATTTTTTTTCCTTTTTGAAATCGAGATTAGGAAATGATGTTAGAGTTTTTTAAGACTAATTCAGATCCACTCTATCGATTGGAAAAGTCAAAATTCAAAAAAACTGAAAAATAAAAATTTCGATTTGGATTCTAATTTCAAAATTTTCAAACTCAATTTTCTCGAAACCCGTCAAATATTTTGGATCATTTTTTTTTTTGAGATTGTAGCCCTTGATGAAGGCTTTAAAATGGTACTTAGTTGAAGTCGTTGGCATTTACGGTTTTTGAGAAAATCGAGTTTGAATTTTTTGACTAAATTTCAACCAAAACCCAACTTTGAGGCTCAATTGCTCTAAAAGTATTTGCGTTATCGAACTCAATCTAGTACTGATTTATAGAGAATTTAATGCTCTTTCCAACCATATATAATTTATTTTGATTTGCTCAAAATTTAATAGAAGTATTGGCAATTGCTCCTAACCTTGTCAGGATCCAAAAAAAATTTAAACCTAAAAATTGAGATTTTCTTTTTAATTTTTCTCTGTGTTGAAATGAAGATTTTGTAATGATGTTAGAGTTTTTTTCGACTAATTTAGACCCGCTCTATCGATTGAAAAAGTCAAAATTCAATAAATATGAACAATTAAAATTTCGAATTTTTCAAAGGGTTAGGTACACCCATTTAGATTTTTATTTCAAAATATTTGATCTTGGATATCTTAAAATCTATTAAAGATTTTGAATTAAAATTTTCAGGAAATGACAAGGGCTTTAAAATCGTATCTAGTTAAAATCGCTAGCTCTATTTATAGACTTATAGAGAGAATTTAATGCTCTTTTCAACCATATATAATTTGTTTTGATTTGTTCAAATTAATTTTTATGAAGATATTGGCCATTATTCCTAACCTTGTCAAGATTTGAAAAAAATTCCAGAACAAAAATTGAGATTTTTTAGCTTTTTGAAAGTGATGTTAGAACTTTTTTCGATTAATTTAAACCCGCTGAATCAATTGGAAAAGTCAAAATTTCGAAAATATGAAAAATAAAGATTTCGAGTGGTTTGACTGAAACCCTCCATAAGCAACGCCACTGGTCAAACAAAATACATGTTGCCAACTTGAAAAATAACCGGCCAATAGCAACAAGAGCCTGGAATAAACAGAAATTGAAATATAAAAAGGGAAACATATATAAATGTATCAAAAGAAAAAATACAAATTTATATAAAAATCAAAGGACCTCACACACCACTTATGGGTATTTGGTTTTCTGTCAAACAAATGAAATCTGTATGTTAATGAAGTAAAATTTTAATACATTACGAGGGATGTTTATAAAGTGTATGCCATTGTTAAAAATATTTAAAATTGATGAAATTTCAAAATCACCAGTAATTGCCATTTTTCAAAAAGTTTTTCACCAATCACCAGACCTGGCATCACTGGCTCTTGTACTATCATTGATATTTGTCAAACTATGGATTAAATCAATGATGATGGTAGAATTAGTCCAGGAGAAATATTTTTATCCCAGATACTTTTGGAGACGATAGTACATACTACATTTTGTTGTTTAATAACTTGCAAACTGACATGTTTTTTTATTTTTATTTATAGTAGTAGGTAGTCTAATTATCTCCGAAATCACAGTTCATCCGGATCGGATCTGGTGTCCGGTCGTAATCAAACCTTATAATTAGAGTTCTACTGTATAATAAATAGAAGATCCTGTATCATTATCAAAAAACCTAGTTTTCCACTTTGCAGAAATGTATAGGTTCCTAAATCTAATGATTTTGAAAATAAGATATAGAGACATATTTTTATATCTAATGTACCTATGTGTGTGTGACTATTTTTGAATGCCCTATATACATGTATGATTTTAAAGAAAAAAGTTATTGCTTACCATGTCCATGAGCTCCTTCTTCATAAACGGTCTCATAAGAGCCAAAATTTTGTCCATAAAAGGTACCACATTAATGTAATGCACCCCTTTAAGTCGTATGGGCATCGCTTCCTGTAAGTAATAGAGGAATTTTTTCATGACGACAATACTAAGCCTGGCTAAATGGCCAAAAACGCATCCCTCCATATTGAATACCAACACGATTCCCTGCTGGGGTCCATGTTTGTGCAAGTTCAGCATTTCCACCATATCAAAGTAACGAGAATGGTTGGCGAAATTAAAGTTTTCTGGATTAACATCGATCAGTTTCATCCATATTACTGTGTAGTTTTCGGGAGTGAGTTTTGTTAAAGGAGTTATTAACCTGTAAAAAACTTCTATGTGAACCCAAAGTTAATTTTTGTCTTGAGGACTTACGAGCAGTTAAGTGCGGTCTGTACGCTGGGTTCCCTAGGGTTTCTATTCCCAAACACATCAGGACACAAGGTTTTTACAGTGAAATAGTTATCGATTGCTTGTTTGGCCAGTTCGTTGCTGTAATAGCAACTTTGGAGAAATAGAATAAGCTGAAGTTCTATAAAAAAAAAAAATATCAGCATAATTCTAGACGTAGCGTCTATTGAAAGTAAAAGTTAACTGAATATGTTTAAGGATCAAAAAAAAAAAAAATAAAGAAATAATGACATTTAATGACAAAATAATCCAAAAGTTCAAACAATGTCAGGACGGGCCTTGTACAAAGAAGAACTGTCAAGATAATAAGAGGTTGAAGGGAATGAAATGTTAAAAGTACCTACAGAAAGCACAAAAAAATTTGAAGCAGAGATGAAGAAGATTTACAAATATGTATGCATAGATTAATGAAAAATAAACTGGAACTAAACATAAGCAAAACAGAACTAGCTATAGTGCTGAAAGTTCAAACTAAGTAAAGAAAAATAAAAAGTTAGGAATGCACTTATGATTACCTAGTAGGTAGAACAGAGATACAAGCAAATATAATTAGAAGTTTAAATTCATCATTCATCTATACACAAACAAGTTCTGCCCACAAAAACAAATGTGAAAGAAAATATGACAATTGCCAATATACACCATTATGGAATTTGAACATAAATGATACTTTTTTGAAAAATATATTCAATTCTCACCAGATATTTTAGGTAAATGTGGCTGTTTAATTGCCCAATCGTAGAGGGTTTCTATGTCCTCCTTTTTGAGGTCCGCATCCTTTTTGTAAAGTTTCGAAACGTCGGCTGCAGGTATCGGCATTCTGAAACAAGTAACGATAAGTCTAAAATACACTCCAAAAAGATTGTATTTTACCTGAAATAAAAAATTAATGACTCGTTAGATAGCGCCAGAGATTCGATTCAAACTGAACATGCAATTATTCAGATTTCTACAATACCTTATGCAATGTTAGGTCCATCATTAATTTTAATTAAAAGTATTTGAGCTTTATGCGTGTCGCAGATTACTGATATTTTATACCTTTTGATTGGGGTTTCCTTTTATTTGAAATTTGTGCATGATGTTGATTACAGGGTTATTTAATATAAGTATCGGTATAAAGTTTACTTTTATATTGATGAAGTATAACGAATGATTATTATTGAAAGACGTAAAGTGAAGCTGCCTGATCAAAAATAAAACTGTTTTAATCTAATTTATTTGGTTTTGTATTTTGTTTATGATTGTTCATTTTTATTTCAATAGGAAACAATTTTAGTCCGGGGGCCGAGGCCCTTTTTTCCAAATCATTAATAACAAGCTAGTTTTTTCAATGCAGCTTCATTTCACCGAGACGCCCAACTTTTTTCTCACGAAAATTGCGGAAACAGGTAGGTAACATACTGCGCAGGTGTAAAACATGTCGATTTGGTGATTATCAAAATTTAATTAATAACAGATAGATTTTTAGCTAAATGTTGAGATAATTTTATGAATAATTTGAAACAATATTTGTCCGACAAAATAAAGGGTTTGGTCTATGATGTCCCCTCCCTCAAACATGTAGAATAACCAGTTGATTTTGTTACTGTAGCCTAGTAAATATTACTACAATTAAATGGTCACACTGTCCTACAAATAAAGAGGTAACTTTTTCCAGTCCTACACTCAAAAATTGTCGACTTCACGGTAATATTTTTCTCATTAATAACTGTAGGTCACAAAAGCCACATGATAGATTAACATATTTTCTACCGAAATTAATCAATGTCCTACAAAAAAGTAGGTAGTTATCGCTAGTCCGACAAAAAGTATGTAACCGACATAACCGTTGAAAAACGTATTCGATGAGAAGTTATATTAAAATGAAGTATAGGCTTTATAATCATATGTAATGTTGACTACATTAGTGTGTTCTTTGTCCCTGTTTGTTGCGATTTTCGCATTAGAAATGGTTATTCATGATTGAATATGTATACTTGAAATTTTATAAAGCTAACTTGAATCGAATATTGTATATTAATCCAATGTGTCCAAGATAAGGAAGGCCAGTATGGGGATCTGGGAAACGGTAAGAGATACGACGTTGCTTAAATTAGAAAAAAGTTGCGTAATTTTGTGCTCATTAAAATGGCGCTTTGATGTTCTAAAAATTCCGAGTACTACCGGAGATATCCGGCATACATCGAAATTCGCCCAAAATGATTTCGTTTTTTCCTGACCTTATTTGAAGAAGCGAGCGCTAAAATCTTACTTTTTTCCCATGTGTATGTTGGATAAACTGATATTTATATCAGTGAAACAAAAATTAATAAATTAAACTTTGATTATTAGCCTATACTTTGCTAATTTATATCGCAGCTATGGATGACTGAATGTGTTTATAATAGTTTTTATATGTAAGATAAACAGATGAGGAATCGTTTACTTAAGAAAGGGTTTGTAATTCTTTGTCTTGATGTTGAATCAGTTCGTATAGTTATTTCTATGAGTTCACACGCTCTGCTTTCCGCTGTGTTCGATATAATAAATATATTGAATATCGATAATTAACAAGTTCTTTTATTTCTTAGTCCATTTCCCAACAGGTTATGGGACCAGTGTACGTGTATTCATTGCGGTTGTGAAAACCGGGAGTGTTTAATGTGATAATGGAAAATTTGAAACTAAAAAGAAACAAAAGGCTTCATGCTAACAGAGCTTGAACTTAGATAAGAACATCAGAGCTCAGCAATTTAGAAATAATTATCGTTGAGGATATTTTAAAATCGATTTTAAAAGACGCAATTTCGAAAAAAAAAAAAAAACAAGTCTCTAAAACACAATAAAAAAAGTGAAACAAAACAATTCCATCAATAAAAAAAAAAATGGAACCCTTATAACAGCAACCAAAAAGGCACAATTAGTATTCCCAGTAATATGGGCATACAGGAAAGTCTTTAGTATAGGCTGGACTGTTCAGAGAGGTTCCTTACAATTTGCTGTCCGTAAGAAAAATGCAAAGGGCTAAAAAAAAAAGTGGTAGTATTTACAGAGGCGGTAAGCTTATAATTTATGGGTAAGTCTTTGAACTCTTTAATAATAATTGCTCTTGAACTCACTGTTATTGGAAATTAAAAAAAAAAAAAAACACATTTATTCAAGCAAATAGTGACGATTAAATAAAAAATAAAAAATTATCAATTGTGGTTTAAACGTTTAGGCCACATTGGTGAGGTTCAAATTATTAAATTATTAAATTATTATAAAAAAAAAGCGCAAATCGATCAGGTTATACAATGAGTATTTATGTGGAGCGTGCATAAACAAGCGCGACTTCCATTTCAAAAACATTGTACTGTTTGTGCATGAATTTACTTACTATTGTGTAACATATTTGATGAGTCATAAGTCATATGTATTTTGTATGTTTCAAGATTCAGTTGCTGAAAGTGGGGCACATTTCAATTTACAGATTTTCAATGTATTCTGTGACAATGAAGGTGAATATCTAGCTACTGAAATGAAAGATTTTTGGTATGCAAAAAGATAAGTCATCATTTGACAATTCCATGAACCCCACAAATTAAATATGCAGCTATATAGAAAAAAAGTTGGAGGCAGTTTTAACTGCAACATTCTCACTTAGTTTGACCCCTACTAAAACTTTAAAAGAATTTGAAACACCATACGAAATGTGGCGTAGTAAAAAGCCTCAAGTAAAATATTCATAAGTGTTTGGTTCCATAATACCGTTTATAGGTTCATAAAAACCAGGAAAACAAAATTTGATATCAAATCCTGGAAAGCTGTACTGCTTGGTTATGAACCAAATGAATATGAAGTGTGGGATGTGGTTAGTCATAAGTTTGTTGTAGTTAAGGATATTATTGTAGATATGACAAATTTGTTTTTGTCCTCCAAGCCTTTTAATCTGCATAAAGCTGATTCCTCTGACTATTTGTCAAGATCAGTAGTTAATAATAAGCTTGAAAAGGTGAACGTAGAACAGTTTGATTATAAAGCTGATTCCTCTGACTATTTGTCAAGAACAGTAGTTAATCATAAGCTTGAAAAAGTAAATGCAGAACACTTATGGTCATAAAGCTGATTCCTCTGACTATTTGTCAAGATCAGTAATTACTAACAAGCTTGAAAAAAGTGAATATAGAACACTTTAATTGTAAAAGCTAATTTCTCTGACTGTTTGTTAAGATCAGTGGTTACTGATAAGCTTGAAAAGTAAATGTTTAACTTTTCTGGTCATAGAGCCAATTTTTCTGATTCTTTGTCAATATCAGTGGTTAGTTAATGATAAGTTTGAAAAAGTGAATGCATAACACTTTGGTGATGAAACTGATTCCTTTGACAGTTTGCCAAGATTGCTGGTTAATAAATCTCATAAAGCAAAATCAGATAAGCAAGCAATCCAAGAAAGTAGCTAACTGTTAACACACAAACTTATCAAACTATGTAATGAATGATTATAGTAAATCTGTGGTTAAAACAAATCTGCCAAATGATATTCATTCAGTTTCCACTATAATCACGATTCCCAAAGTAGTTAAATTAAAATCCTCCAGTGAATTGCATCCAATAAATTTGTTTTGCACCAATTTTGGAGAAAATGGTGTGTATATGCAACTTGTTGAGTTTATAGGTAGATAGAAATAAACTATCCAGTGATTTTCAATCAGGGTTTCGAGTAAGTCAATATTAGTAGGTAATAGTGATTATGAAAAAGTGAATGTTAAACACTTTGATGATAAAGCTGTTTCCTCTGATTGTTTGTCAAGATCAGTAGTTTTTAATAAACTGAACTGAACCGAACTGAAAAAGTGTCAAAAATGGATGTAATACTTTGGTAATTAGCCTATCCAAAACACGTGACTTTCACAAGCAAACAAAGGGTTTGTGTTCCTCTTGGCGGACATTTTAATTTGAGTTCGACAGCATCTTGGCTAGTCTAATAAAACTTTTCCCTTGAAAGTGTCAGTTTGTCAAGATCGGTGGTTTGGTTAATAAATCTGATATAGCTAAATCAGATGAGTAACAATCCAGGAAAGTAGGTAAATATTAACCCTATAATAAACTCATTAAACTAAATAATGAGTATAGTAAATCTGTGATTAAAACAGATCTGCCAAATGATATTGATTCACTCATTATTGGTAAATAAAACGTGGTCGTTAGTATCAAGATCCGAATATAAAAATATAGTGGATTGTAACTGGATATTTTCCATTGAAAATGATGAAATTGGAAAACCATTTAGATACAAAGCTTACTTAGTTGCTCGTGGTTTTAGTCAACATTACTTGGTAGATTATAATGAAACCTTTGCACAGGTGGCGAGAATCGTAGGTTTCTGGTTTATAATAACCTTTTTAACCAGTTCACCCTTTTAATACATCATATGGATGTACAAACAGCTTTCCCGGATAGGTCATTGAAGGAAGCCATTTTTATGAAGGTTCCTGAAGGCTGAAGGGTAGCTGGCTCAAGGTGTGACAAGTAAACCTCCTAACCAAGTTTGTAAGGCTTTGTATCTATGGACTAAAACAAACCATTAGATGTTGGTTTGAAATAATAGTAAAAGTTCATAAAGAAAATGGGTTTGAAAATTCATCAGTTAACCACTGTATTTATATCTTAGACAAAGGTGCAATATGTAAAATTATTTATGTAGTTCTGTAGATGGTATTTGCCACTGCAGATAATAATACATTGAATAGTTTAAAAGGGATTTGGCAAATAACTGTTCTATGTTTTATTTGAAAGACAGTAAACTATTTTTGGGTAATAAAATTGAAAGGTAATCAAAATAAAATTAGTCTTGATCAATTTTCATATAGGTACAGTTCAAATGTACATGAAAACTATTTTACATAAATTTAATATGAATGAGTGTTGTGCCATCAGCTGTGTCAGCACTCCACTTCCTAG